TGATATAGACAGGGTTGAGTCACATTGACTTTGGATGATTTAGGCAGGGTTGAGTCACATTGACTTTGGGTGATATAGACAGGGTTGGGTCACATTTATATTGGGTGATATAGACAGGGTTGGATCACATTGACTTTTGGTGATATACACATGGTTGAGTCACATTGACTTTGTGTGATATAGACAGGGTTGAGTCACATTTATATTGGGTGATATAGACAGGGTTGGGTCACATTTATATTGGGTGATGTAGACAGGGTTGGGTCACATTGACTTTGGGTGATATACACAGGGTTGAGTCACATTGACTTTGGGTGATATATACAGGGTTGAGTCACATTGACTTTGGGTGATATACACAGGGTTGGGTCACAATGACTTTGGGTGATATACACAGGGTTGAGTCACATTGACGTTGGGTGATAAAGACAGGGTTGGGTCACATTGACTTTGGGTGATATACACAGGGTTGAGTCACATTGACTTTGGGTGATATACACAGGGTCGAGTCACATTTATATTGAATGATATACACAGGGTTGAGTTACATTGACTTTGGGTGATATACACAGGGTCGAGTCACATTTATATTGAATGATATACACAGGGTTGAGTTACATTGACTTTGGGTGATATACACAGGGTTGAGTCACATTGACTTTGGGTGATATACACAGGGTCGAGTCACATTTATATTGAATTATATACACAGGGTTGAGTTACATTGACTTTGGGTGATTTAGGCAGGGTGATATATAGTTTTTGTTTGCTGTGATCATTAAGTGACTGAGTATTTTCTGTTTTCTGTATGATTAGATTCTCTTGAGATTATTCACTTAATGATCGATCAAATCATGTCAACGCATCCAGCAAGTAAATATCTGCATATTGGTGCTGATGAGGTAAGAGGTGTTTACTTATTGATATTTGAACAATGGTGCTGATAAGAAAAGAGGATTGTGTGACAAACAATCTTGGTGGTGGGACACAGCATAACTTATCTTGATGGTGGAACATAGTTTAGCTTATCTTGGTGGTGGGACATAGCATAGCTTATCTTGGTGATGAGACTCTGCATGCTTATATTGGTGCTTAGATACTGCATGCATATCTTGGTGCGAAGACACTGCATGCTTAACTTGATACTGAGACTCTGCATGCTTATCTTGATGCTTAGATACTGCATGCATATCTTGGTGCTGAGACACTGCATGTTTAACTTGATGCTGAGACTCTGCATGCTTATATTGGTGCTGACACTCCCTGCTTATCTTTGTGCTGAGACACTGCATGCATATCTTGGTGCTTAGATACTGCATGCTTAACTTGATGCTGACACTCTGCATGCTTATCTTGGTGCTTAGATACTGCATGCACATCTTGGTGCTGAGACACTCCCTGCTTAATTTGCGCTGAGACACTGCATGCATATCTTGATGCTGAGACTCTGCATGCTTATCTTGGTGCTTAGATACTGTATGCATATCTCGGTGCTAAGACACTGCATGCTTAACTCAGTTCTGAGACTCTGCAGGCTTATCTCAAAGCCAAGACACTGCATGCTTAACTCGGTGCTGAGACACTGCATGCTTATCTTGGTGCTGAGAGCTCTATACTTTTTAGTCCCCATTCGGACAAAGTCCGAAAACGGGGACTTATGTTTTGACCCCTGTGTGTCCGTGCGTGCATCTGTGCGTGCGTCTGGACCTGTATCTTAGAAATGCCTGGACCAATCACAATCAAACTTCACACAT